CTGACAACCTTTCAGAACGGTTGTCAGGAAATTACTCCTCCTTGCTTCAACATCTGCGTATTCGCTCGGAGCTGACTTTCTCGCTCTGACCTCCACCGAAAGATCCCGAGCACCGCAACGAGACAAAGCGGCGACGACCGTCGAAAGGTCACAATGAAAATCCTGCGAGCGATACTATTCAATGCAACAAAGGCCTCGATATATCCCGTCGTATGGCTATGCTCGGAGGTGTAGGTCGAATGTCCCTCGACGGATTCGACTCTGGACGGAACACGGGGAGATCATTCGCCTCCCGCGAGCTCGTGATTGATGTTCCCCAAATCAAACTTCAATATCAACAGAAACCGCTGCAAATCGCTGGTCATGTGTTTGCCCAGAGAAGTGACAGCTTGTTTTCGCGGAACTCTTCCCCGTCGGAAGCGCGACCCGCCGAGGTCAACGCAGCAGGGCGAAGTATTTCTCGAGGCTACGGCTGTTCGACCCAACTGAACTCAGAAGAGGTAGCATTCACCTCGGTCGACTGCTATCAGCGAGGGGTTGCGATAGCGGTGCCGAGAAGGGAGTAGCGCGACCATCGCCGTGGACTTGATCCGCAGACGAATCAGTCCTCATGGATGGAATGCTTCCACCGATTCGTGAGCGAGTCTGATACCGCGGAGCCGTATTACTGTGCAGATAGACACATTTCATTAAGAGACGCTCCGTGGCTCCGATGCATGGGAGCAAAAGTCAAGCTGTTTAGTGAAGTATTCATTCCGACGTAGGCTGATCCGATGAACTCTGCTCGCTATGATCCTCTCGTTCTCGGTCAGTACGCGACAGGGGACGTCATTTCTCTTTCTCCCCCTTTCTCGTTTATTCTGTGTTTATTATGTCGTACTGGGGTACTGAGTTCGATTGGACGCGGCCAAATCTGTTCGCATCGAAAACCGACCTTGGCTCCGGATGGAGAGGTCATCAGGAGGAATACATGAACAGATTCGGTACAATCCGGATCGTCGGCCGATCCGCTGTCGACAGTACGGGATCAAGGGGGGGACGGGTCGCATTTGCACCGACAATCCACGTAACGAGCCCTGTTGTCTAGAGAGAATCCAGATTACCGATGGTTCCGACGCGAAGCGAGCATGAAGTTGAGGGAAAATGCTCATTCCGAGATGTCTCCGCGAGCTACCATATTCACCTCCGTAGAACACCATGCGTGAATGTCGAAGGCGTCCGGCCCCGTTTCAAGTGCCTCTTCAAAGGAAAAGCCAGTGTCCTGTCCTAAGGAGGCAAGGAGGACGGGGTGAGTTCGAATCGATTTCGACGCAATGCCCCCGACAAAAGCGAAAGAGTAGGTATTTCAGCATGATTCTGAGCCACAAGCCTCGAATCCGAAGCTCCACAATTCAGCCTGAATTGATGATATCGGCTGCAGTGCTCTGGAAGCATTGTTTCATCCGGGGGGAAAGGCACAGTCGCAATGATATTCGACGTGATACCCCGCGATAGCTACAAAGGTCGCGGCGTTGGAATACGATTCGGAGAAACAGAGGCCTTTGCCGACTGACGTGAACGCGCAAAACACAAATTCCATTGCCAGGGGCGGCAGACAAAGGAGAGAGGGAGTCCGCGATGCTCGGCTTTGAGTCGAGACGAGGGAGAAGATTGCATAGACGAGGTGTTATTCACCTCTCGTGACGTTGAATGATTGTGTCGTGCGAAGGGAAAGCGGGAATCAGCAGTACCAGCCTTATGTCGAGTTCTCCCCGAGTCTCCTTTCCCCCTTACCCGGAAAGAACTGGCGATCCTCTCCAATTCGTCGACCCAGACTCGGAGAATGTATTCTTCCGTCCCGTCCACAACTCCGAGCCCGTTGAATGCGTTACATTTCCTGAATGGGCTCTGTAGTACGTTTCCGTATGACCCGTTAACGATTCGAGCTGTCCGGCCGAGTTTATTGTTCCCAAACGCACAACAGGGCTTATGGCAGCGGGACCTCAACGCATGTAGACTCGTCCGGTCTATTCGATTCATTGACAAAAAAACTAATTTCGCTCGGCCCCAACGCTCAGTTTCTGCCGTCGGTGGCGGCGCTGAGGTCGGCTTTCCAATAAGGGATCTCGCGCATATTGTCGGATCGCTTGGGTAGGCTCGTGTCTGATAACCTAGTTTCGGGACGTCGATAGAATCCATTGCCTCATAAGGAACATGGAGAGACTAAAACCTTTTTGACCATCGAGAGCAAAGAGGTCGTGGAGGGTAGACCAGGGAGCAAGCTGGGATTCATGGCCCCTATGGCGGATCAGAAAATACTCAGCGCTGCCTCGATGCATCTGCCGGAGCGCAGGCTACGCAGTAGGTATAATAACAAGCGTGAGACTCGAACGAGATTTACGGCGCCCGAGCTCCGATACTGAATTCGAGTTTCGAGCCTTGAATACTAGCTGTCGGAGGCTTCCGGAATTCTCTCAGCCGAAGGAGATTTCGCCGGGAACCCGGGTCCGAGTTCGTAACTTGTGGGAGGAGAGCAACACGCGGAAATAAGTCGAATGGAGGCGAAAACAAAGTCTCAGTGGAGGCATCGTATCGCGAGCGGATCAGTGCAAGTCCTCGAGTCGAAAAGTTACATTCACCGAGAATTGATCCATGCTCTTCCGCGTCAGAGCTTTTGGGGAAGCCGGAAACGAACGAGTCCCAGAGAAGTTTACTTCCCCCCTCGCTCTCATACTCATCTCTCTCGCGTCCTCTCGTTCTCGGGCGTTTTTATCAGGTAATCCACCCGTGCTCCAGCCATCGGAGTGAAGTGTTTGCAGTAGGTCGACGGGTAATTCCTTCCATCAGCGGATCAGGTCCCGCCCGATCGAACCTAACGCGGGCCTTCGAGGACGCATGGATCTCGTCTGCCTCGATCTCTGATCTCGGTTCTTTGATCTGGTTCGACCGCGGCTTTCGTAGAGATTATGATTTATGCCTTGTTCGGATCGTGATGGCTCGCAGTGCGATTCTGGCATGCCCCCGAACTTGCGTGACTTCCCGTGACTCAGGTATTCGTATCCGCTCACGCGCTTCTCGGATCCGTCGAGATGCTTGGGACGGTCTGACCCAGGACCTGCAAGCGGGGAATTTCACTTTCTCCGGAACGCCGCTCATCAGGCAAGATTGAATGAAGAAATATCCAGGAAAATATCATCTTCATCGGTCTGTGATGCGATCCAACGCAGAGAAGACTCGCCGGATCGCGTTCGTTGCAGCTTCATCGGACGCGGCTCGTCGAAAGCTATCGGCTGGGAAAAAGTGCACGATTCCGTTCACTTCGTCTTGGCTGATTAGCGACTTCCCGAAGAGTGGGGAATTTCCCGCTCGCGAGCCTCCTTGTGGCCCCAAGTCCGTGGCGCATCCGAGGGTAGGGCGGTCGGACTATCGCTCTCGCTCGAGGCCTCCGATCCCCTCTATTTTTTCCACGTTGAAGCAGACGCCTTGCATAAATCCGCCCTTCCCCCGGAGAATGGACCTCAGCCTCCCCCTTCTCCCCCCTCCGAAGGATTCCTGAGTCGGTGCCTGTCCCAACTCCCGCCCGTCCGAGGTACCGATGCAGAACCGGGCTTCAACGAAATCGTGCACTATACCTGGGAAAAATCGAATCCGCGATCCAGGCTCCCCGGCGCCTGATCTTTCGGATTGAAGATCCTACATCCATAAGCCCGACTTGTCGCATAACAGTTTCGACTCTCTCGCTTCTGTTATGAGAAGGATCGAGTTATCGCTTGACAGTCCAGACAAGTGTTACGCAGCAAAGAAAAGTCGCTCTCGATACGCAACGACGCTCGTAACAATACGTTATAGATATCGAAATCGTCTCACCTCGAAGTTGTAGACTGTTTTCGCAACAAGCTCCGCGACTGAGTTGTTGACATGCCTGCACCGGCATCTGAGCATTCGAAAAAGGCGCTGTCGCGATCCGGCTTATTGTTGACCACTTTGAATGCGGTTCCCTATGGCGCAAATCCCTTCGCTGAACTCTGGAATCGGAGTTCGATCCATGGCTCCATGGCCCTCGAAAAAAAACGGGAGGAACAACTCATGAATCCGGAGAAAGACCAGAGAGGCACGGAATGAAGAGGGGCTGCGAAACCAACAGAGAGACCATCTTCTCTCTTGGGAGCCTGTCCCTCGTAAGGATTTCGTCCGCTCTTTTTTCAGGTCGTGAACTCGAAGCGAAACGACAGCCGAAGCCGGTCGAGCTCCACAGGCCCCGTTCTCCGCCATCCGATGGGCATTGTGCAACACCTGTATCTCCGATCCGGAATGTCCACGAGGATTATCGGAGGATTCCGCGCTCGGGCTAGACACACGGAGTTCAAACCTGGACATACGACGCTACCGCTGTCGACTCGGATTACATCTTTTCTGTTGATGAACTTATTTCGTCTGACCAGGGGACCGCGCTCCGGTCCGGGTTCACAGGCTGCGATCCTAATCTCGTCGTTGTTTGTTTACCCCATGGCGCAGCGAACGAGGAAGTGGGAACCGAGATATTACCGGGCTCATTCAGATCAGTCTCGCGGTTCGAAGCTGCGCTCCCTTTCGCTGCCTCGCTTGTTAGTTTGCACAAAGGAACCACTGACCGCCTGTGATAGAGACCTCTGGACTGACCGAGGTCAGACCTGTTTTCCGTTCGGTGGCTTGAACTATTGGAGCTGCTAGGCCAATGCGCATTTATTTTTACCAATAAGTTCAAGAGATTACACGGCTGAGTGAGTCAGTTCGTTGCTCTTCCGGCAGAGGGACTTTTGGAACTGTGTATCGAATATACTGGCGCGAATTTTTTTTTCTGAGTCGTTTGCCCCCGCTAGGGACTCTCAGAGACATTCCCGCATTCTTGTTCAAAATATTTATAGATATGCGCTCGGAGAGATCACATTCGACATTTAGGAATTGAATTCTCCCCTACATGCGGGTGCTAAGGCCATTCGAAGGCCCTACCTTGAAGCACGAATTTCTCATCAAACAACTCTCGGTGTTGCGTCGGAGTAGAATGGTCGAATTCTATTTCACCATCCTGTGCCTCTTCGGTTTGCGGACCGTGGATTACGTGTCAGGTCAGAGTGACATCGTGAAATCAACTCTGTACAATTGGGCTCAGATTGAGCCTCAACTCAGCGAGTTTGAGCGTAAGTTGGATCGAATTTCCCGAAATCGTCGATAAGCAAACGAACGCTCGAAACGGGGATAGGGGGCGCCTGATAAGAGATTCTGGGTCCACTGTTATCACAACGAAACTTACTCCATCAGATTGGCTTTGCGGGAACGGAGAAGCCATCAAAAGTGTCACTGCCTCTCTGCCGAACACCTCTTACGAACTCTCTGAAACGGATGTCAACGGCTTAATCTGCACTTATAACCTCTACTCGACGAAAGTCACGCAGGTGATGATGTGAGTTTGTCTTGTGACTTCTCCCCCTTCCGTAGAGGGTTCCAGATAATCGAAAATTGTTTGATTGAAGCAATCGGGAGCTGAACCACGAAACCCCTCATTTCCACTTCCAGGAGTTATTATGAAGAAATCGCGACCGATTCCCGGCTCGCGGTGCCTGGCTACACAATGTGGGACCTCTTCAGAGCTTTCGCCGACAATCGCAGGGATATTCTGAACGCTTTCAACGGAGCTATTGCAGGCCGGAGCGACGCTGACATTTCATGGGTGTTCCGCAACGAGGAAACTTTGGCGGATCTGAAACAGGCTTTCTTGGGAGCTCAGAAAGATCTCATGGGACTCCAAGGATACCATTTCTAGAATAAACCTCGATATTGCACATGAGCACAGAGCTCCGATCTATGTAAGGTCAGCGAAATATATCACCAAGGCCGAGAATCGAGGGAATCCGTTGTCGGACGCTCGAGCGAAGTAGAATCGAAATCCCCGGAAGAAGGAGAAGAAGCAGCAGCTGCCGATCCGGAGGATACTGCGAATTGTTTTTCATTTCGTTTTCGCTTGTATGTTCCATGCTCACATTTCGCGTGCTGGCTGGTTTTGTGATTTGTGTTTCGAGAGATGGCGGACGCACTCACGGGCCAACTCACGATCCCATGCGCGAGCCCGCTTGGTTTAGTTCTCGTGAATGGACCCTGAGAACTTCACCCATGGGACTGGAAATACGCAGCATGAATCGAACGTGGATTTTGACTCCGGGGTCCAGAATTCCCCTTTGCTCCCTCGAGCCGTATCCAATATCTGAGTGAAACGTAAACAGGTCTTTCGGAAAGCCATTTTTTGTCTTTCGAATTCTGCGCAGTGACACGACGATAAACTATTCATTTGCTTGGACTTCCCAAGCGGGAGCAGGCAATCCTCGCCTGTCTACATTCAGAGTAAATGCGACAACACCATGTTCTCTGTGAATCAATATTGAGCCTCTGACGTATCATCACCCCCGCAGAGCTCGGAAAGTGTAGAGGAGCGCAAGTCGGGACTCTGGGAGTATAAGATGCGACGAGTTCTGTACTACAGTCTCCGTGAATCACGCAGTCAGCTTCGAAGTAAGATCCCGAAATTTGAAGAGCGGAAGGAGCTGTCCAAGAATAAAAACGAAATTCCCGTTTTTGCGCTTATGTGAAGAACTTCGGCATTTTCGGCTGGAATAGTCAGGGACCTAATGTTTCCTGAGAAGATTTTATTCTGGAGCTTGTCAATAATTCAGTTACGCTTCCACACTTCCGAGAAAAACTCTCCAACCGCTACCAGTCGGTCAGCGGTCAGTCCGTGAAAGAGAGTACTCAACGACTGAGCATTCGCCGTGACCTTACCCTCGCCTCTGATGGACTATATAGCGGCTGACTCTGGAAAGGCGCCGGTTCCTTCCAAGATGATCGTTTCGACAATCTTGGCGCTGTGTTTCTCTTCGGTACTCGCTCAGTACCCGAGCCACGGATACCGAGAACGAGGGGGCTTCCCTCTGTTTCAACCCGTACCTCAAGCATTTCTACCTACCGACGGATTTCAAGCAGGATATGGGATTCTCCAAGGAGCGGATCGAGCTCTCGCGGCGCCCCGGAATCACGCCGCTCAGGGTTTGCTGCCGGTCTCTCACCGAAGTGACGGGATTCAAGTGCAAGACCATGACGGCAGAGTGTACCCGAGTTTAGGAATTTTCGGGGATGGACCTCTGAGAACTCGGGGTGAAGGAGGTTTATAGTGGGAATCGAAGCTACAGAGAAGAAACGATGAGGCTCGATCGATCGCGTCGGCCCTGTCATCCGGTGGGAGTCGTCATGAGCGAATCTCATGACTCATGAGCCTAGTGAAAGGGTCGCAATCAGGATTTTTTTATGTCAGGAGTATGATTTTTCGGTGTTCGTGTAAACTAATAAACAATCTCTCGTCGATCCTCGGCCTCCTTCGCACATTCTCGCTACACTACCCAGATCATTCCGCGACTCCCTCAGCTTGGCTTTGCGGGAACAAAGAAATAGCTGTCGCTAGATCGTTGTGGGTGACCTACGGTTTTTGCGGGTGATGGGTAGTGTCAGCGAGAGTTTTCTCGGAATTCTGCAGAATGAGATCAGGGTTCCCCGAATCCAGATTCCAGAGCCTTGATTGGGTCGAAAGATGTTTCATACAACACTGAAGTTCAGTCTCTGAGTACATATATCTACCCTCCTTGAGGGACATTTCTCGAATTTGCGAGCTCCCTAAGGCTGCTTGTTCTTCCGGCTTTTCCTTATACGCATCTCCTTTCAACGATCAGGTCAATCGAACTCATTCCCGTGATGACGGCTGGCTGGAGTATCGTCATCAGAATACAAGTTATCGCGCAAGCTCTGAGGCCTGATACCTTCGAGGAGCAATGATTGATCGGGACCCTCGGCAGTTATTCGAAACCAGGCATCAGTCCATGTCTCGAGAGTGACTTGAGATTTCACTTGTCTTTGCTCGATGGGACGCACGTTCCCAGCTGCTGCTTCTGGGTGATTTTGTTAGACTTTTATATACAGGAAGGGAGATGTCAGAGTATTTTAGGCAACACAGGAGCCCATTTTTCCAATAGAAACGGGAAAACTCGGCTCGCCGGGTACCCTCTTTGCGCGGAACAATTCGAGCGGTTGCCAATGCTTGGGTTCCTTCGACGAATATGTGCCCCAAGCCGACCGCCTCTCATTCTGTAAACTAGACCGTGACAGATTGTTTATACTTCTAGTTTCCTGATAGTAACGACCGTCCTTCACAAACTGCTATCAGTATCAACTTTTTCTGGTGTTTGCTCTGTCGCGGACTTTTTTCCATTATCATGTACCCAGCAATTCCTTCGGTTATTCTGTTCGCTGGGCTGTATTTCAGCAGCGGGTGCGATCCAAGATGTTCTACGCCTTCAACCTAGGCGAATTCCATCAGCTGAGAACAGATATCTGAGAGGTATGTGCGAGAGCTGTGACTTCCCAAGGTTGCGGCGCTCAGCTTGTCAGAAGTTTCGGAAACCAAACATTTTGTAATCTTCATTAGCTTAGCTCTGTATGATCGCTCCGATATAAGCTCTCAAATAGCAATTAGCCTACCTTCGTAAGGATATATGCTCGGAGCCAAGTAAGACCATCAGTGAGGCATGGGTCTGTGGTAACGAGGACCTCAGGCGAGGAACTCCTCGCTATTCACCTGTTGAGCAACTTGAAGCGGAATCGAAATTTTTTATCATCTCATCTGTCGGTGTCGTTCGACCCCACACGATGACCTTGAGCTCTGCTACATGGAAACCATTATCCGCAGCGAGATGGATGTGGTTGGAGGCTGAATCTCGATTCTCCTTGGATCTCTCGCTGATCTTTTCAAGTTTCACGTTTCTGTCAAATTATTATAGTCAGAGAGAGTTCGTCGCTGGAATGTCATTCTATCTCGAGCCATCTTCCTCCCGAGAGATGGGTTTTTCTCGATATATTCCTGAATATGATCTTCTCCAGACTAGGTCGTGACGGGATCTTGATGAGTCGAAACCATGGAAATGAATCTCTCCGCGGCTTGGTGCGGACTCCTCGAAGTCACATTGAGTCCTCTTCGACGTCAAATATTTCGTCTTCTGTCGGGCTCTGCACTGACATGAGCTTCTCGCGAATGGACTATATGAAGCGATAAGGGAATGCCCCCCCCCGGGAATTGAGGAGGCTACGACTCACCCGATTGAGTCCGACATTCGTCGACAACGCTTTTCGGGCCAAGTTTTTCCCGGAGTCATCAGAGATTTTTATCCCGCTCCAAACTTCACGACGAAAGTGGGAGCATCGCTCCAAGTTTCTGGTTCTGGCACGGAATCGATCCCGAGAGTTAGTTCAGCCGCGTGGATCGTGTGGATCCAGGCAATCACCATCGGAATAAAATCCGAAGTTCGCTATCGTGCGAATCGTCGGACGGAAAAATATAGGGCTTGCGCTGATCGACCTCTCAACGTTTCAGATGAGTGTACCCAAAGTGTCTGTCCTCGCTGCGCCTAAGTGGTAGCGAAACCAGAGTCAGAGGGATAAGTCTTTCTCGGCCCGCGAAAATAGAGCGATCATTCTCGATATCAATGATAGCGGCACAAGTCTGTAAGCGTCTATGATTCAGAATTCCTAGAGAGCAACTCGGAAAGAGAGGTACCAAGGGACACGACCGTTGCATATATAAAACAGACCTTACATAACCAGTTTCAAACCCGGACCCCATCGGGGCCCGACAGCGCTGAGCTTGAGCTTGCCGAAAGCCTCGCGAGCTGACAATCTGTAGCTCTGAAGGAGGCATTTTTCACCGCAAACTGCTCCAAGACAACGCCCTTCCTTGTTTCGGCGGGGAGCTCGATGCCATTCACAATGAAATGCGCAGAGATCATGTAGGAAAGTTTTTCCTCGAAGCAGTCCATCCACCGTCTCCGACACCCGGAATAGCCCTTCCAATACCCAGTTGTGTAGAACACCTGGCTGACCTTGTCCTCGGGAAACACCGATGGGAGTCCAGAACAAGTTTCAAGCAGAAAATGCCTCAGGTGAGTCTTGCTCGTGTCATTTATTCATAAGTCAGAGTGGAGCTTTGTTGAGCTCGGAGACTGTGTTAATCTTGCATGGTCGAATATAGCTCTGGATGTCTGAAAGCTTTGTGATGAATAAGCTAAAGAGATCGGTCGTAGCGAGGAACGCATGGGAGAGAAATCAGAATGGTTACGCAAAATGATGCGAGGAAACTCTTAGGATCTTGGCGAACATGAAGCCCAGCGCAACGAGAGCGCGAGACGATCAGGGGCCTACGGAACTACGGAATCATTGAAGTTCGTACAACATCTCGAACGGAAAATAAGAAGATTTGTCACCAACGCGTGAGAATTGATCAGGCATCCAATCCTCGTGATTTGTCTGACTCGACGTACGAAATCAAAGTAAGACGTATCCGGCATCTCGAGCTGGAAGAGTTCCATTCATTCGGAAGATTCATCCTGAACCGTGACGCGAGCACATTGCCCGCCGACGCCCGTTCCCACATGACCAGCCGCCACGCTTTCTTGAAACACTCTGGGATCTTCGTGGAGCGGAATCAATCAGCGAGGGAAAAGCACTCCAATCCTCGGCTCCCACGACAAGAAATTCTGATTCGCGAGAATACGGCCTGGTCTCTCGCGTCGGGGCCCTCTTTTCCCCTGATGCGACGCTGAGTTCTTGGTGGAAAATCGGAACGATAATCGGAGCCGAAACGATGCTTACTTCGCGAAATCATCTGAATAAACTTTCGAAGAGCGTTTCTTTCGCGAAGGCCGCCCTCGCGGCTTCTCTGTTCGCTTGGAA